ACACCACAGTGGATGGCTTCAGCCTTCAGAAGTTCATTCTCTCACAGTCTAGGAGGCTAGAAGTTCAAATTCAGGGTGCCAGCTCCAGGGGAAGGCTTTCTCTCCCTGTCAGCTCTGGAGGAAGGTCTTTTGTCATCCATCTTGCCCTTATCTAGGAGCTTCTCAGCACAGGAACCCTAGATCCAACAGATGCACTATGTTCCTAGTGCTATTTCCTTGGTGGTATGAGGTTCCGTTGTCTCTCTGCTTGCTTCTCTCTTTTATATCTTAAAAGAGACCGACTTAAAACACAATCCAATCTTGTAGATTGAGTCCTGCCTCATTAACATAACTGCCTCTAATCCTACCTCGTTAACCTCATAGAGGCAGGATTTTCAACACACGGGAAAATTCCATCAGATGACAAAATGGTGGACAATCACACAATACCAGGAATCATGGCCTAGCCAAGTTGACACAACATTTTCGGGGGACACAGTTCAATCCATGACAGCTGCCCTGACCACCCGTCTTGAGCAGCTGCCCACCAGCCATTCTCTATCACATCTCCGTCTTTTCGTTCACAGCACTTGCCCTAGTCCAGACTTAGCTGGTTTATCTGTTCACCTGTTTATTGTTAGTCTCTCCTGAGAGCAGGGAACATGCCTGGATCACTCACGATGAAATTCCCATCGCCCAGCATAAGGCTTGTCACACGATAAATACTGCTTGGTGTGTGATTAGACACTTTCCATTTCTCCAAGGGGCCACCTCTCAGCTCCACACCCTCCTACCTCAGGGCCTTTGCTCCTGTGGTTCCCCCTCCTGAGGCCCCCTTCTCCCCACCTCTTCCCTGGTTAACCCCCAATTCACCTTTGGGTCCCCCTCAAATGTTACCTCCTCAGGGAAACCATGTCTCAAAAAGCTCTTGCAGCATCCTGTTCTTGGGAAACACAATCTTCGTCATGTCTTGTAATTATATATTCAGATTTTTATACTTATTTGTTTGTTACTGAGGTCTGTGAGTTCTCTTAGGTCAAAAACCGGGTCTGTCTGGCTCGGTGCTATTCCCCCAGCTCCTAGCATACAGCTGGGATAGTAGCAGGCTTTCCATGAATGTTTGTTGAATGACTAAATGATCGAATGATGTGTCATGAATCAAAGATTAGGATCATTCCAATTCCATGCTCCAATAGGTGAATTAAGGAAGGGGGCTCGCCCTCAAATCTCGCAGGGCCCCTCTACCATCGTCACCAGCGGAGCTCAGCCCACCCTCCCTGGCCACCCAAGGCTCCAGGCCAGATTCCAGGGTGTGGAGAGTGGTTACCGTAGTCCTTGGGGAGCGGGGCAGGCGCAGAGGGGTGCACCATAGGCTTCTGCCGGCGCTCCTGGGTGGGGCTGGGGGCCTCCGGGACGGTCTCCTCCTCCTCCTCTTCTTCTTCCTCTTCCCCCCGGGGTGGCGGGGCCATAGGGGCAGGATCTGTCTTAGTCATGGTCTTGAGTGGCCCCCGGGGGGCGAGTGTAGAGCTGGGGGCGGCCTTTCAGGCAAATCCTGGAGGCAGACAGCGGCTAGAAAGGGCACTCCCCAGGCTCGGGGGTCTGAGCTCCCAGGGTCCCAGGTGGCCTGTGCCCTCCAGCTCTGGATCTTGGGCACCATAAGAGGATCTCCATCAGAGGGCCCTGGCACGTGGGCCCAGCGCCCCATTCTTCTCCTCCCGTCAGGTCCCTCGTCTCCGCCGCCCCCTCCCCCGGTTTGTTTATCTCGGGATGCAGGATGCTTCGCCCCACCCCTTCTCCGCAGGCCCCCTTCTTCCCATCTTACCTCTGACGGCTGGGGCTGGAGAGCAAAGCCGAGACTGGGGAGTCCGCAGAACTAACGGGGTTCAGGGGACGTGACGGGGGAAGAGAGGGAGACAGAGAGAAGGGGACGAGGCCCAGACGCCGATGGGGGATGGAGGTGGAGAGGGAGGGGCGCCCACGGCGCATGCGCCGAGTTCCCCCAAGCAGGAGCGGGGGAGGAGATTCTGGGAGTCTGCTCGCAGGGATGAAGGGGCAGAGGGGGTGGCGACGGGACGGAAGGAGACAGACATGGAGGGACAGGGAGAGGAAGAACAGATGGCCACGGAGAAGGATGTGAGACACGGAGACACAAGAGAGATGAAACCGAGACAAGGGCGAAAAGAGAGGGATGGGGAAAGGGGCGCAGGTGTTTTTGCCCATCCCCCTTGTGACGGAGCCTTCCTCCAGGCCTGAAGATGGGACCAATTAGGGCAGGGGTCTCGGTGTGTGGTGGTGGTGGGTGTTTTCTCCCTGGGACCTTAAATGTGACCCCATCCCCCATGCTTACCCTATATAAGGGGTGTCTCAGAAGGGTGATTTTGCAGTTCATCCTGATCATCCAATGCTCAGACAGTATTTTACTGGGCCCAGAGAAGTCAAGCCACTTGCCCAAGGGCACACAGCAAGTAAGTGGTGGAGCTAAGACTTGAAACCCAGGGGGCCTGGCAGCAGAGTCTGGACTCTTAATCACCATGCTACATGGCCATAGGGGTGTCTAGGGAGCAGATCTGCCGATGGATCCCTCCAGCCCTCTCAGAAGCCCTTCTGGAGCCAGCCCAGGGCCCTGGCCTCCCTAGCTCCATTGTCCTAGCTTGGCCGTTACCCCTGGGCTGGGCTGTCTGCTGGCCTGAGCAGGGCTGGGGGGCTTTGTCTCCCCTCTGCCTATCCTTCTAATGGGCAGGCCCAGCAGCTCCATCTCCAAAATATTTCCAGAATCTGATCCCCTACCCTACCCCAGCCCTCATCCTGGTCCCTCCTGCATCTTCTC